AAGATAAGGGCACTGTAAATGATAGCACGAGACAAGCTGATTCAATGGCACAAGTAATGAGGGATTACCAAGAAAAACTTGAGATTGAAACAGATTTCAAAATTATGATGATGAGCAGGTACTCAGTTGAAACTCTGGAGAGGAAAGCATGGTTGATTGAACAACAAAATCCCATTATTGCAAAAAGGTCATCTCGTTCACTGAATTTTGATGATTATGCCTATCACCCCGAAATGCCTCCATCTGACTAAGTATGTTGATGTTCTTTTAATGGTTTAATTTTCTGATTATCTTAAATGTAGTTATTCTAATTGTTAATTTGAATTTTTAGTAATGTCTAATAAGTTATTAATATTAATATTAATTTTTTAAATATATAATTTTAAATATTGAGTTTATAGACAATCAATTAGAACGAGGATTAATATGGTTGACCAAAATATCCCTTAAAATACAAGGAACAAAACAAAAAAAACAAGACAATAAATAACCATCTTACAACATGATTACAACGATAAAAATTAAACATTTAAATTTCCATCTCGGTACTATTTCCAGACATGCTCGACGAGATCATTTCGGAGCATAAAATAGCGAGTTGTATCTGTAAGTCCGTCACGGTTGCTTAAATATTCTGCAATCGTTATCGGGTCTCAGTCAACGGGTTGTTGCTGCACGTGCTCGACAAAATTATCACCTTCTTGATTGCGGTTGTCTTCCACGATCGTATTATGAAGAATTATACAACATTTCATAACTTCACCAATTTGTGCATTGTGCCATAATCGACAAGGTCCTGTAATAAACTCAAATCGTCATTGGAGAATGCCAAAAGTTCTTTCAACATCCTTTCGATATGCCTCTTGCAACCTCGTAAATAATTGTTTATCACGTCCTTGTGGATCGGGAATTGATTGAACAATAGTTGACCAACATGGATATATACCATCTGCTAGATAATATCCTTGCTTGTATACTCTACCATTTATAGTAAATTGAATATATGCGGCTAGACCTTCGACAACATCATTGAAAATAGGTGAGCTATATAATACATTAAGATCATTACACGCACCTGGTGGACCAAAGTATGAATGCCAAATCCAAGTATCATTTGATGCTACGACTTCAAGTATTATTGTAGGTTTGCCATGGCGCTCAGAGTATGTACTAGCTCAAGCGGTGGGACAATTTTCCCATTCCCAATGCATACAGTCCACACTTCCTAGCATTCCAAGAAATCCCCGTTGCTCTACTTTTCTAAGTAGTCTAACCATGTCTGCATTGTTAGGTCGTCGAAGATACTCCTCTACATACACTGCATTGACAGCACAACAAAAATGCTTCAAAGTATCTGAATAAGTGCTCGTTGTTATTTTTAGATACTCGTCAATTGCATCTGCAGGATATCTGTAAGCGAGTATACGAAGTGCAGCTGTCATCTTGACATGGGGTGAGAAACCTTGATTTCCGGAGGCGTCCGGCTTTTGCCTAAAGTAATCGCCAAAATTCACAATATCATTCATAATTCGTAAAAATAATTCACGCCTCATACGATTTCTAATTCAAAAATATTCAGGAGGATATAAAGGATGATCTACAAAGTAATCATTCATAAGTCCCTCACGCGAAGCTCTTCGATCCCTTCTTATGGAAGTCCGGCGTGATGATGTTCTTTCGTGTTGTTTTTTGTACTTTCCCTGTGAAGCCAACATGAGTGATTGGTATTCCACGTACATTGTCATCATCATTGTGTGGGCCTTGGTTGTCGTCGTCAGAGGAGGAATTATCACTTCCTTGTTGTGCCATTTACTTTTTATAAAACAGAAGCTGGATTGTATATAGAATGTGAGATGATTGTGTGTAGAATGTGTGGTGATTGTGTAAGGGGTGAGGAGTAACATTATATAAGAAAATGAATAGATAATAGATAAGAATTGGATGGCCAAGATTGAACATGAAAATTCAATCTAATGGATTCTAGTTGGATAAGATAATGAAAATCTGAATAAGATCGTCAAGATGTGGATAAGATGATTAGATAAAAAATTAACGGACGAGATCAATTGAAATCATATCCAATGGTTGTAGTTCAATATTTCAGATATTTTCAGAATTTTTCATGGAGGGGACTGTGAATAAGATAATTAGATAATAATTTAATGGACGAGATCAATTAAATATCATATCCAACGGTTGTAGTTCAATATTTCATATCTTTTCAGAAATTTTCATTTTTATGATCAAAATGTGTATTAAAAAATAAGTAAGATTGTTCAAATAAAATTTAACTGTCTATAATTTCGTATATGAATAAAATTTGAGCCATAAACAAATTACTACATAAAATAATCCGTAACATGATTTAGAGACTCAAAATTATAGAGCCCTCCTATTGTGAAATTGTTTTTTTAGAGACCCCAAAATTTTACCGGGTCTACATTTGGGTCTCCAAAACAGAATTTGGAGACCCAATTTGGAGACTCTATTGGAGATGCCCTTATTGTTACCCAAATATTGTGCAGCACGGCGACCAACATTCCTATTGATATGCAATGTGCATAGAAGATGATGTCTCTGGGAACAAATTATCTAGCCCATTTATCACCTTCAACTCTCTATCAGTCACAACGACACCTGGAACATTGTGTGGGGTTTAGCTCTCAAATTGTTCAGCCCCCATGTATAATGCTCTTCATTTTCATGGCGCATAAATACCACTCCAACGGTAAAATTCAGACCCTCGGAGCAAACACCAATAATCTCCAACAAAGGCATTTTATACACATTTGTTTTGTACGTACAATCTATTACTAATAGTAGAATATACGGAAACAATCTCAACATTTCGACCAACTGAGGGTGCGCCCACATCAGATCAATAACTTCATACGTAGTTGGATCAGTGCGGATCCACTTAGAATACTTATATTCCTTAAGCAACCCAACCAAATGTTGCATAATTGTATACCCACCCCTAGCTTGTTTTTTTCATTTTCGCCTTTTCATATATATTTATGCACATCTTGTGCGAAATTCTTCTCTTTCAAATGTATTAAAATCTTCTTCGGTGGCACATAACTTTTTGCCAACATTCGAGTAATGTCCACCTAGCTCCTCTTGAGTCCTTTTCGTAGATCCCTGCCCCCACAAAAACACAGGATCATAATTATGCTTCCCATATAATATTGTATAAGCTCCCATCTATCCTCGTAGCGTTGGGCTCCCACCAAGTAGAATTTACGATAATATTTCTTTGTGCTAGTCCATCTCTTATTTTCCACATCTATGTTCGTTGTAGTTGGCCGCTTCGCCCCAAATAGATCACAAGTAAGATATACTCTATTCCTAGCGCTACTACAACTCACCAACTTTACACCAATATTCTTGACGGTTGCTTTCGCCCATTCTACCAACTCAATCCTCGAGTTAAATAGTTTCATTACTACAAACAGCTCACTATAATCAACTTCAAACATAGAAGAATTTTGTTGTTCTTCTGAAATAATTATGAATAAAACACGGTTAAAGAGTAATAACAATAGTTTTAAAAAATAAAAAATAAAATAAAAAATGCATAAGTGGCCCGCGCCGAACCCGGACGCTCAAAACCCGACTGGGCGTCTGATTTGGGCGTGAATCAGGCGTTTGCGCGCTCAGTTTGGGTGTGCAAATTATTTTTCGGCGCCCATATTGGTCGTGAGCCATGTTTTCCCGATTTATAGAACAAAAACAAACAAATTTTACCTCATTGGATTGTGTATCCCGATCCTCATCCGATGCACTCGTTTTTGTTTGTAAAGTCGCTACAATAAGATGGGTTTCGGGAAAATTTCTAATATAAAAGCTTGAGAGAATTTTTTTTTCTAGAGAAAGTGAATTACTTTAAGGGTTAAATACAGTTTACACTCCCATAGTATACCATTTGTAACACTTACCATAAAGTATAGTTTGTCACACTTACCCCTCAAACTCAATTTAATTTGTATTTAAATCATAATCCATTAAAATTTTCTTTTTTATTTAAAGAAATAACTAAAAAAACAATTATATTATACAAATAAAAATATCTATTGAAAAATGCAATATTTAATTTTCTTTAAAATATTATCTTATATTGGGTACATATTCAATAAATAACATCTAACTGTTATTGGAACAAATAATCAAATATATTCATATCGATAAATTTTAAGAAATCAATACGTAACTAATAGTTATCTTAAGTATTCAAGTATATTTTAGTTCATTAATTTCACAAAATATATTTACATTCATTATTATACAGCATAACTACTTTTTTTTTCCAATAATTTAATTTTTTAGTTACTTCTCATTTTTTTATGATCCAACAAATATTAGATTGATAGATGTTGAGGGGTAAGTGTTATGTAGGCTATACTTCAGGAATCCAAAGTATATTTAACCTTTATTTTAAACCCGTATTCGTAAAAATGCTACCGTGAATATCACCTCCTTTTGAAATATTCTGATCATAATTCCCCAAAAAATTTAACTAACTTTAGATTTAGGAGCTTTAAAACACATTTTAATGCCAAACACACTTTAATACTCCCTCTGTTCCATCATTATATGTGTCTCTTGTGAGAGTTTCTTTTCTTCCATATTATCTGTCACTTTACAATTCCAATGCTGCATTAAATGCTTATTTTTCAATTTTACCCTTATTAACTCTGCAGCACTCTTCATGCATTAATTAATAAATAAGGGTATTTTGGTCCATCAATATATATTTTTTCTAAATTTAAGACTTATTTATTGAGATTCTTAAAATTTGTGCCAAGGTGAAAAACGACACCTATTTAGTAACGAATGGAGTATTCAATTATTTTCTCGTTTATCTTTGAATCGATTTTTGATCAACTAACTACACTGTACACACAATACTACCAGTTCAGTATTGCTTTGCCAAACAGAGCCCGAGGCCCAAACCATTTCATGAATTTTTATTTGTGAATTAAACATCAAAGTCAAAACCTTCCAATTTCTCACTGTTGTAAATGTTTCTTTCAAAAAACCAGCCATGGCGCCATCGGCCGAACGCCAAAGCTGCAGTCTCGTTTCTTTCTTATTTCCCGGCTCAACCTGAAATCACAGCAGCAGCAGAAGAAGCAGCGCGAAGCAGTGATATAGAACTCATCGGCACAACCAACACAGACCACTGGACGAGACGCATCCACAAGCTATGCACCGAAAACCGCGACGCCGACGCCGCTCTCCGCCTCCTCCACCGCCTCCGCCTCCGCGGATTCCGGCCCGACTCCCTCAACATCAGCAGCATCGTCCACGCTCTCTGCCATGCCAACCGTTTCCCCGAAGCCCACCGCCGCTTCCTCGCCTTCGTTTCCTCCCACTGCGTCCCCGACGAGCGCACGTGCAACGTTCTCATCGCGCGCTTGCTTGACGGACGTGACCCTTCTTCTACACTACAATTGATAAATGCGTTGGTATCCGAGAAGCCTGAGTTTGTGCCTTCTTTGATGAACTACAATCGTTTGGTTGATGGATTCTGTAAGCTGGGGAGATTGGAAGCAGCCCATTTGATGTTGTATCACATGATAAGGAAGGGGCATCGTCCCAATGTTGTTTCTTATACTACTTTGATCAGTGGGTATTGTTCGATTGGGGATGTTGATGCTGCTGAAAAGGTGTTTGATGAAATGCCCGACTGGGGAGTGCATTCGAATGCGCTTACTTACAGTGCTCTAGTTCGTGGGGTTTTAAGAAAAAGGGACCTCGAAAAGGGGAAAAGACTAATCGGAAAACTTTGGGAGGTTATTGGAAGTGGGGCGGATGTGCAAGTTAACAGCGCGGCTTTTTGCAGCGTAATCGATACTCTATGTAGAGAAGGGTTATTTCACGAAGTGTTCAAGATCGCCGAAGATATGCCACAGGGAAAGAATGTTCTTGAAGAATTCGCGTACGGACAAATGATCGATTCGCTGTGTAGGTTCGAGATGTACAACGGTGCTGCGCGGGTTGTTTATATGATGAAAAAGAGAGGATTTAAACCAAGCTTGGTTTCGTATAATTCAATTGTACACGGTCTATGTATGGATGGCGATATCTTAAGGGCGTACCAGTTGTTGGAAGAAGGTATGCAGCTCGGATACTCACCCTCGGAATTTACTTTTACAGTGATGGTTGAGGGTCTTTGTCGCGAATTCGATCTAGCTAAAGCAAAAGATGTTCTAAATGTCATGTTGAGTAAGGAAGGTGTGGAAAGGACGAGAATATACAATATTTATTTGAGGGCTCTTTGTTATATGAATAACCCTACCGAGCTTCTAAATGTGCTCGTTTTAATGTTTCAGTCGCAGTGCCAACCGGATATTATTACTCTCAATACTTTAATAAAGGGATTCTGCAAAATGGGGACCGTCGAAGAGGCTCTGCGGGTATTTGATGATATGATTGAGGGGAAATTTTGTGCTCCAGATGAAGTAACTTTCACTACTATTATTCACGGTTTCCTGAGTGTTGGGAAGGCTAAAGAATCTTTGAATTTCATGCGTAACGTTATGCTCGAGAGAGGTTTTTCACCTGGTGTTGTGACTTATAATACCGTAATTCGTGGGTTGTTTAAACTTGGCCTTACGGATGAAGCTATGGAGGTTTTTAATAAAATGGTCTGTAGTGGTGTAAGTGCTGATTGCATAACGTACACAGCTGTGATCGAGGGGTTTTGCGAATCTAATTTAATAAACGAAGCGAAGAAGTTTTGGGAAAATGTCGTTTGGCCCTCTAAAGTTCATGACAGTTTTGTTTATTCCGCCATGCTTAAAGGGCTTTGCCGCTCGGAAAAATTCGATGAAGCATGTCATTTACTCTATGAGCTGGCGGATTGTGGGGTTGTTCCGAATACTGTAAATTACAATATCGTCCTTGACTATGCTTGTAAGTTGGGATTGAAGAAGGAAGCTTACCAGATTACTAGTGAAATGAGAAACAATGGTTTGATGCCGGATGCTGTAACGTGGAGAATATTGGATAAATTGCATGGTACTGTAGGAAAGCAAGATTTTGGGGGTCAAAATGGTCATTCGATAGAGTCGGCATTTGTTAATAAATAAGCACAAGAAGGAAGTAATATTATCCCGTGTCAT